CCAGAGCGCCCTCGGGGTCCCGGGGCCGGGTCTCCGATGCGGGGGTCGCGGAGGGTGGGGCCGAGCCTCAGCGGCTGGACGCTGCGCCACGGCAGGGCCGGCCCTCCCCAAGCCAGGGGCCGAAGCCCGCCGCCTCCTGGACCCCGCCGCCCGCTTACCTCTTCGCTTCTTCTTCGTCTAGCAGCTCCGGCTCGGTCGTCGCCATTACCACATCGCACTCCGCGGCCGCCGCCATCTTACCGCCGGGACCAGAGAGCCGGGCGGGAGGCCGGCGGGGAAGAGCACTTCCGGCCGGAGCATCGAGCGGAGGCGCGGCGGCGCGCCCAGAGAGGTCCCCCCGGGCTCGTCTACCAACGAGAGGCTCCGCCTGGGGGCAGAGCGGCCTCGCGTCCCTGGAGGTCCACGGTGGTCGCGTGGAGGCGGGGGCCCAGGGATAGCTCCGGTGGGTGGGGGGCGCCACTTTCCCCGCGGGAAGGGCGGTGTGCCGGGGGGTGTTGCCTCTCGAAGTTTTGGCTTTCCTCATTACCCCAGGAGCCTGGCTGCCATTGCAACTTGGAGTCCTACAGCGAGCCGAATGGCTGGGGCAGCCTGGGCGGGGTTGGAGCCCGAGGAGCTGCAGGGAAGGCGCCCCACTGCTCCCCGCCCGCTGTCGGCGCGTGTCCACAGCGTCCTCCCGCAAAAGGCAAGAAGACACTGGGAGCCCGGTTCCCCCCGCTTTCATCGGATCCTGCAGGCCCTGCCCAGGAAGCCAGGGGACGCAGGGCGTCCTCACCCGCGCCTTTCATCCCTGATCTCCAAGAAGCGGCTGGTTCATCACCCCAGTGACGCTGCCCTTTATGAGCGGCTTTCATGTCGGCCGCCGGGAGCGCAGTCTCAGCAATAAGCCCAGGGAGGCGACACGACAGGCGCCCGGCCCTGCCCCGGAGTTTATAAGGCAGTTCATGGGGTGAGGCCCTTGCTCCTCTGTGTCCCCCAGGTCCCACCCCTCATAAACTCGGCTCAGCACGCTCGGCTGGCTGAAGGCAGTGTGGACGCGGACTCAGAGGACGGGGCCACAACTTAGTCATCCGTGCAAGACCTCCGTCGCCCAAGCCGACAGTTGTGGGGTTGAATTAAATTAGGGCTTTCTGCGGTTAAACCAAGGGAGCCTGAGGTTCTCATTGAAAGCTAAGGAACTAAAATCGAAAAGGACACGGGGATTTTACAAGGTGCTCGGGCTGGCGAGGGAGCTCGGGTAGAGCGCGTGCCTCGCAAGCCGTGGGCTCTGGGTTCGATCCCGGCGCTGCAAGTCATCAGCGTACCAGGAAGACAGTGCCAAGGCCCTGCCCTGTTTGCACGGCCCCTGCCTAGCGGAGAGCCAAGGGCGGAGAGGAGGGGGCGAGCTAGCACAGGGAGAGCGAGGGCATTCAGCAGCGCTTTGCAGAACGTCCATTCTTTGCTGAGTGGGAGGGCACAGACCGCTGCCTCCTGCCAGGAGCTGGCCTCCCTGTGGCCCTCTTCGCGCTGTGTCCCGTTAGAGCCGACGCCTTTACACCCGCGGACTCTCAGCCCTCGCTGTCTGCAGCCCAGACCTTTCCGAGCGCTCCAGACCTGCACGCTAACTACCCGATCGGTATCTCCTCAGGTTTCATAGATGCTGAGGTTTAACCCGCCCTGGACTTACTCTCCCTCCATCCCTCAACCATGGATGGAACAAACATCGGGAATCTCTTGCCCAGATTCCCGGTTGTCTCCTTGGTGCGGTTCCACACACCCCTGGCCACCGCGTGCGAGTGGGGGCCTCGCTGCCCTCACCGCCGGGTCTCACTGATGCTTCTGACATGGTCCACCGCGCTCGGTGCCACCTCCGGCCTGACACACTGGCCTCTGAGTAGTCGGGGGCCGCCCACCCGTCCACCCGGCCCCCAGGCCTTCACACCTCCACTGGACTGGCCCTCCGCGGGCAGCTCTCCTTGATGCCGCTGTCCCCGAGCACAACCCCTCGAGCTGTACTCACGGCGGTGCACGCCGATCGCTGGTTTAGCCGGCAGCTCCTCGGGACCATGACATCCTGGGGGCAGCCACGTGGCGGCTTCCCGGCGCTTCCCCGCATGTGGCCTTGCACGTGGCCCCGAAGCCCTGGACGAGGGCTGCAGGAGCAGCTCAATGCTGGAGCGCGCCGTGCCTAAGGCCCTGGGTTCCATCCCCAGCGCCGCAGGAGAGAAAAGGAAGCATCTGACGACTACATGATTGCGCACACGAAGCGCTCCTGTAGGAGGGCAGCCTTTGGGGAGAGGACACGTGGACCTTGAGACCCCCAAACAGCGCCCGCGTCCGGGAGCCTAGAACCTGCAGCGCTAGCACGGCCCGGCCCGCTCCCGGCCGGCATTTCCTGCGCTGGCCTCTGGGGGCGCTGTGCGGCCGGCGCCCTCTCCGACGGCGGAACTCGCCTTGCCGACCGGAAGCCGAGGGGCGGGCGCGCGGTGGGAGCGGGGCCTTGCAAAGTCCACTTCCGCCCGGAGGCGCGATCGGGAGCCCTGGGGCCCGGCTGCCCCTCCCCCGGCCCCTGAGCGCTCTAGTGGGCGACCGGGGCGCAGCGGGGCCCGGGAGGTGCGAAGCCTGGGGACAGGGCCTCTCTGTCTCTGATTCGCTTCGGACCCCCTCCGCGGACACCGGGGGCGGGGACCCCCTCCCAGTCCGTGGGTGTCTCCTAAAGGCCGGGCTCACTCGTGGGAGGGGTCGGGGCCGCGCGCTGTCCGAGGGGAGCTGCAGTGCGCGCGATCGCGGCCGTCTGCGGGGATCTTTATCAGGGCGATTCTGACTGCGGGTCTCCCCGCGTCGGGCGCTGCGGACCCCGGAGCCGTGCTTCCGCCCCGCCTGGGCTCTCGGCGGAGGGAGGGCTCCCTCTGCTTTGATCCTCTTTCCCTCACCTCACCCAGGTGCCTCTGTCCCTCCAGCTTGGAGGCGAAGCATGGGGAAGAGCTGCAAGGTGGTCGTGTGTGGCCAGGCGTCAGTGGGGAAAACTTCCATCCTGGAGCAACTCCTGTACGGGAACCATGTAGTGGGTGAGTGTAGCGGGGCTGGGGCTGGGGCTGGTGGAAGGCGTTTCCGCACAGGAATAGAGTGGAATCAGCACGCAAAGACTCAAAGCTGCTCCCGTGTTTTTTGTACCATAAGGAGGGTGTGGCACACACCTGTCATCCCAGCAAGCTGGGAGGCTGAGGCGGGAGGGCTGCAAGTTCAAGCTCAGCCCAGGAAGCTAGTGTCACTCTGTTTCAAATTTAAAAATAAAAGACTGGTGGCAGTTGCAGAGACCCTGTTTTTATCCTTAGAACTGAGAGGAGAAAAGGGGTAAAACTAATGTGATTCTCAGCACTCCAGCATTAAACAGATCTGGAGGGAAGAAGTCCAGGATCTGGCCGGGTGTGGTGGTGGTGTACACTTGTGTACTCAGCACTTGTGAAGCTGAGGCAGGAGGATTGCTGTGTGAGTTCAAGGCCAGTTTGAATTCCATAGGACATCCTGTCTCAAAGAAACGAAAAATAAATGAAGAAATCCAGGATCTCAGTGGCTGTGGTGGTACACACCTGTGATCCTAGCACTCAGGAGGCAGAGGCAGGAGGATGGCTGTGAGTTCAAGGCCATCCTGCACTACACAGTGAGACCCTGCCTCAAAGAAAAACAACAACCGGGCATGGTGGTGCACACCTGTAATCCTAGCACTTGTGAGACTGAGGCAGGAGGATTGCTCTGAGTTCGAGACCAGCCTGGACTACATAGTGAAACCTGTCTAAAAAAAACGAAAACAAAATAACCCACGATTGGGGCTGGGGATTTAGCTCAGTGGCACAGCGCCTGCCTGGCAAGTGTGAGGTCATGAGTTTGATTCCTGGTACCGGGGGAGAAAAAAAAAAAAACAAAAAAAACCCAGTATCTTAGCCCCGCATGGTGGTGCACATCTCTAATCCCAGCACTCAGGAGGCTGAGGCAGGAGGATTGTTTTGAGTTCGAGGCCAGCCTGAGCTACAAAGTGAGCTCAAGGCCAGCCTGAACTGCATATCGAGACCCTGTCTCAGAAAGACAAAGAAACAACAACAAAAAAACCCAGGATCTCAAGTAGGAAGGAGAAGCCCCCACGTGAAGTACAGTGTTGGTGTGATGTCCGTGTGAGTTGCCCTGATCATTCCAGTCCCACCAGGCTCTGGTCCGACCCGTCAGGGTGCCCCCAACGTCCCCCACACACTTCAGCAGGGCTCCTCGTCTTGCCCAGGTTCTGAGATGATTGAGACCCAGGAGGACATCTACGTGGGCTCCATTGAGACGGACCGGGGCGTTCGGGAGCAGGTGCGCTTCTACGACACCCGTGGGCTCCGCGATGGGACCGAGCTGCCCCGGCACTGCTTCTCCTGCACTGACGGCTACGTCCTAGTCTACAGCACCGACAGCCGAGAGTCCTTCCAGCGTGTGGAGCTCCTGAAGAAGGAGATCGACAAATCCAAGGACAAGAAGGAGGTGCGCAGGACGGGGGCGAGCCAGGGCTGGCTGTGGGACTCGTGTGGCTCCATCTTACCCTCGTTTGCCAAGAGGTGGCTTAGGAGCTGGCTGGGCCGGAGAGTCTGTGTCCCCAGAGGTGGCTGTGTAGCCAGCAGGGGGTCCTGGGCTCCCGCATCAGGGTCCCCCAGTCTGCACAGTGGCTCTGCGCTCTTTCTGAGATGCTTGAGACAGGCCCGACCTGCAGTCACCCAGAGGCATCTGTCCTCCTCCAGGTCACCATCGTGGTCCTGGGCAACAAGTGTGACCTCCAGGAGCAGCGGCGCGTGGACCCGGACGTGGCACAGCACTGGGCCAAGGCGGAGAAGGTGAAGCTGTGGGAGGTGTCGGTGGCCGACCGCCGCTCCCTGCTGGAGCCCTTTGTCTACCTGGCCAGCAAGATGACGCAGCCACAGAGCAAGTCGGCCTTCCCGCTCAGCCGCAAGAACAAGGGCAGCGGCTCCCTGGACGGCTGAGCAGCTGCTGCCGCTCACCCGCCGACCCCACGGAGCCCTGGGGCCCTGGAGAGCGGGTTGGGAGCGAGGGGGAGCCCTGCTCGGCCGGGCAGCTGGGCTGTCCCCTCTCAACCCCAAGTGCGAATAGTCCCCATTAGCGCCCCCTCCTCTCAACACCCCACCCCTCCCCTCCCCAGCTGACATCCTGTCCTCACTGTTGCCAGGACAGGAAGAGGAACTACCATGCCACAAGTGCCCGATCTAGGGTCTGGGGTCTTTGTGATTCTGAGATAGGATCTCACTGAGTTCCCCAGGCTGGCTTCAGTCTTGGATCCTCCTGCCTCAGCCTCCTGAGTAGATGGGATTACAGGTGTGCACCCCTACGCCTGGCTAGGGCCTGGTTCTAGTGACAGGGTTACCAGTCCTCTGAGCTTCCGGCCGGGCACGAGCGTGCACACATACGTGAGGTGCCAGCCTGGACATGAACAGGAGTCCAGGTGCTGTGTGCCTGTGCGGCATCAGGCCCAGCTCCTGGGGGCACCTGCGTCCTCCTCTGGGCTGGGTGGCGATTCTGCTCTCCCAGATCCTTGCCTGCCTCTCCCTCTTCAAGGTGCTTGGCCCCAGCCCTGGCGGCTGGACTCGGTTCTCCCCGACCACCAGGGGGCGGCGGCGTGCCCCCGCTGTGTCTTCCCGGTCCAGGCGGTCTCCGAAGTTTCTGTTACCTGTGTCTGCCCCGCCCACCTCAGCCAGGCTGACACGGTGCTTGCCTCCCCTCAGACCTCAGAGGCCTGGACAGAAGCAGGCGGAGCAGGAGCTCCAGGGAGCTCATCACCACCTCTGTGCCAGGGGCTTCTTCCGTGCGCCCAGCACGGGTGACCCCAGCCCGGCCCCTCTGCAGGACAGGAGCGGTGGGCAGGGCAGAGCCAGGCTGGGAGGAGGCGTAGGGCACGACCACCAGGCTGCGGCTCAGCGCTCGTTTATTGATGCATTCTTTGGACACAATAAAACCACAACTGTTATCAAAAGGTCCCCCCTCCTCACATTCCCATTGGAACAATCTCCGGGCAGAAAATCCGAGGCCGAGGGTGGGCAGGGCCTGTGGCCACCGGAACCGGCCTGGCCCAGCTGCACAGTGGGGCTGGGGGCCAGGCGGGGTGGGAGGGCTGCGTGTCAGCCGAGCCCGTGGGCCGGGGGAGACCCAGGGCCCCTTCTAAAAGCCAGGGTTGGGGCTCTCTGGGGGGGTCACTTCCGGGGAAGCCAGGCAGCACCATCGGCCCCCAGAGCCGCCCAGGGCACTGCCCGAGCGGGGACTGCGTCCCTTTCCCGCTCTGTGGCCCCTGCCACGCCCCACAGCCACGGAGTCCGCACAGGCTGGAGCCCACCCCGTTAGCGACACCTGCCCTGACCTCCAGAGAGGCCGGAGGTCGCAGACCTGTCCCCAGCCTGGGAGGAGCTTTCCCGTGCGGCTGAGGTCTTCAGTTGGAAAAAGACAGCACCGGGGGGCCCTGCCGGGTTTGCACAGATGGGGGGTGTTGGGGATGCAGGGGCTCTGGGGGAGCCCCGGACGACGGGTGAGGGGAGGGAGATGGCTAAGCCCCGGTCTGCATCCTGAGGGAAGCCGCCCCAGAACCCGCCCTGCAGCTCCTGGATGGGCAGGAGGCTCCGCGGGGAGTCGGCCGGGCCAGGCTAATAGGGCGCGAAGACCACGGGTCCGGGGGTGGGGCGCATGGCCCCCGCAGCAGCGCGGAACAGAGTGGCGCCCAGGACGGGCGCGGAGAAGAGGGTGGCGGGCGCCGGCCGGAGGGCCAGGGGCCCGGGTAGGGCGCAGATGGCAGGGGCGGCGGCGGGCAGCGGGCTGGGCAGGAGGCGGGCGGCCAGCGTCCTGGTGAGCTGCTTCTGCAGGGCCAGCTTGGACTGCAGAGAGACAGAGCGTCGGGCTAGCCCGGGGCCCAGGGCGCCCACCCTCCTGGGCATCGGGGTGCTTGCTGCGGAACTCGCTGCCTCTGGTTCCAGACCCAGCTCCCTCCTCTGTCCTCCCATCAGCCACCTGTCTTCCTGCCCCAGGGAGGGTGACCTTGGACGGGGGTCAGGGCAGGGACATGGCCTCAGGGGGTCCAGGCCACCACCCCACGCCGCCTCCCCGGAAATTCCCAAGGCCGCCGGATCCCACTCTCAGCACCTTCCCAGCCGGCCGCCCCGCCCACCCCGTCCCTGCCGGGAGACCTTGAGGACGCTCACTGCCAGCGCCGCCTGCTTCTGCAGCTTGCTGTGCAGGCTGGGAGGCTTAGGGGGCTTGAGGGGCTTCCCAGCCAGGCGGTCTTTGTGCCTCCGGCTGCTCATGTGCTGATGGACAGACAGACAGACAGAACTGTGTGAGCCCACCTCCCCACAACGACTCTGCCACCCTTCCTCATCCTGGCCCAGCCACCGCCAGGCCCAGCCCGCTGCCCAACCCATCGGCCGCACCTGCTTGAGCTGGGTCTCGGAGTTGACCTGCAGCTGACACAGCGCACAGTGGAAAGGGGGCCTGGGACTCTGCCGGCCGCCCCGGACCCCCACCACTCTCCCGGCCTTGTGTGCGGCTCCTCCCCGGGACACTGCGCGGCCCCGGGCCCTGCGGGGAGCCCCCCGCTGTCCCTCCACCATCCACCGGTGTCTGGCTCCTGGAAGGAGGAAGACCATAGTGGTCAGTACCCGAGGGGGCCAGGCCACCGGGACCCCCAGCGAAGCCAGCTGCCTCCCTTCCATTTCACCCTCAGGGGGACCCTGCCCTTCACATCCCGGCCTTCCTGTCCGACGGAGGAGGTGCAGCAGGGGCCTACCAAGTCTCCAGAGATTTTGTTGTTTTTTTCCAGATAGGATCTCACTATGGAGCCCAGGCTAGCCTTGAACTTGCAGTGATCCTCCTGCCTCTGCCTCCTGAGTGCAGGGTTACGGCCATGCACCACTGCCCGGCTTTCTCCAGAGATGCAGTGAGCGACCTTCCATTCTTGCTGCCTCAGCACCCCCACCCCAGGTGCTAGCAGGAGCCCCAGGAATGCCTCCCCATGCCCACAAGCTCCAGCGCCCTACATGGGAGGCTCAGCCTGTCTCCCGCCCCGAGCCCCCGACCGGCGTGCTGACCTGTGTTGTGGGCCTGAAGCTGGGAGGCCGAGTTCACGGTCACCTTGCAGGTGGGACAGTAGAGGCGCCCCTTCTCGTGGCCACCTGCCCCACTGCGGCCGCTCCCCGCAGCTGCTGCTGCCGCTGCCTCAGGCTCAGGCCCTGGAGCCTCCCTGCCCGGCTCTGGGGAGCAGGGTGGGCAGCAGGAGGCGGAGGAGGCCGGGTCTACCAGGTCTGCGTGGCCCGGCTCCGGGGGAGAGGGCTCCAGGGTCAGTGGTGGCTGGTGCGGCGGGCCAAGGGGAGAGGCTGCAGGGACCCAGGAGACACTGGTGAGGGGACACCCCAGCAACCTTGGGCCGCTAACACGATAAAGTGGGGAGAGATTGGTCTTCAGAGGCCCTCATGACCCCATATTGGGTATGTTCACGAATGGAGTACTATGAAGCAGTGAAAAATACTGACAGCCGTAAGTAACAACCTTAGCTATATAATCAACACTGCCTAGTGCCCAGAAGAGGTGAATCCTATGCATCCTGACTCACCAAAGCCCGGTGTCAGTCACTTACCCTGCCTGCGCAAAGCAAAGATCATAGTCACCCAGGGTGGGGAGGACACAGCTGGTTGAATATTGGCCCCCCCACCCAAAATTCACATCTCTGTGGAGCTCAGAAGGCGACCTCACTTGGGAACAGTCTTTGCAGGTATGATTAGTCAGGAGGAGCTGGGGGCAGTGGCACATGCCTGTGATCCCAGCACTCAGGGAGGCTGAAGCAGGAGGATGGCAAGTTTGAGCCCAGCCTGGGCAGCTGACAGACTTACAGGCCCTGTCTCACACTTTAAACATTAGTTCAGGTGCAGTCACGGTTGGGACTCAGCCAATGACTGCTGTCCTTGTGAAAGACACCGGGGACACAGGGGCAGACACGAAGGGGTTGGCACGCTCAGACGCCAGGAGAGGTGGAGACAGCACCCCCTCTACGGCCCCGGGGGAGCAGCCGCACCACAGCCACCTGGATCGCAGGACCTGCAGTCATTTCTCCCCTCAGTGGCCGTGAGGGAACTGGGTGGCTGGGGTGCCGGCCAGGAGTCCCCATCTGGACACCGCCTGAGGGGCCACTCCCGGAGCCGTCACGTCCGCCTGTGCGCAGCTTCCCGCCCTGAGGAGGCCCGCACCCGCACCCGCACCCCACAAGCAAGGTGCTCAGGACTGACCTCTGGCTCTTGGCTCCCCAGGGTCCCCGCTGACACTGGCGGGGGTCAGGGTTGGGGACACGGCAGCCCCATCCCAGGCCAGCGTCTGCGGCCTCTGCTTGCTCTTGGCAGCTTCGACGGCCTTGACTTTCCTGGCGTGTTTGTGGCCTTTATAGTGGGCCTCGGCCTGGTTCTGCGGACAAGGGGGCAGGGGTCACCGTCCCAACAGACAGAGGGCCCGAAAACACGGGCGGCTCGAGCTCACCACTGTCCTCACCACGGCTCGTGTGTGCTCTGAGCTTTACAGACGCGTTTGTTTTTGTTTGGTTTCTTGAGCCATGGTCTCACTAGGTAGCTCAGGCTGGCCTCAAACTCACAGTGACCCTCCTGCCTCAGCCTCCCAAGTGCTGGGCACAAGGGCCACGTGCCCCTGGCCATGGAGTCCCTAGGACAGACTGGAAGGAAGAACCAGCCCCCTCCCTGCCTCTGCTCCACTCACCGCTGAATTGAACCTCAGGTGACAGATGTTACAGGAAATAAACAGCTTCTTCTTCAGAGGGGCGGGGAGCCCAAAAGTGTGGCTGATGACCGCTTTCTGGACTGGGTCCATCTGTGTGGGGAGCAGGTGGGCACACATCCTGGGGTTGGCTCAGGAAGGGGATGGAACCAGCCACAGGGACAGACAACTAAAGCCTCTGGAAGTGTCCCGTCCTGTGACTTGGTCAGGCAGCCTGCTCCTGCTTGGAGCCTGGGGACAGACAGGGCCGCCTGCACATTCAGAAGAACAGAACTGGGCCTCGGATCTCCTTGGCATCTCAGGCTGCCCTGCTGGGCTCAGTCTGTTATGTTTTATTTTGCTTTCTTTCTCTCTCTCTCTCTTTTTTTTTTTTGTATTTCAGTTTGATATATAGTCCAGGCTGGCTTTGAACTCACTATGTAGCCCAGGCTGGCCTCCAAATCAAGCAGATTCTCCTGCTTCAGCCTCCCAAATGCTGGGATTACAGGTGTGTGTCACCACACCCGGCGAGAGAGGTCCTATCTGGTCAGTTCTGCTGACCTCTCCAGTGACAGCCAGGGTCCAGGCCTGAGGTTCCCCGAGTGCCATCATGTCCTTGGAATATTACCACAGTGCTTCCTTTCTTTTCCTTATTCTAGTACTTTTTGTTCCCTGTTCTTGGGGGCCTGGGCTGTCTGGTTTGTCCACAGGAACTTTCCAAGTCTCCCCACAGGAAGAGAACAGAGGCTTCAGGGATGGTGCTGGGGACAGCAAGAGGTCCTAGAGGGCAGGGCACCTCAGGAGGTGGCCCAGGACATAGCACATTTGTCCACCCTTGAGTGGCCACGTCCTTGAATGAGTGTGGGTTGCTGACAGCAGGAGCGAAGCCCAGAGGCCCATCCCCAAGGTCCCCACGTGCCCCAGACCCCTTAGCACCTGGTGCCCCCGGAGGGCGGGCGGGGACCCCTCCAGGTGACCGTGAGGGAATCTGACTCTCAGGGTGTCCGGAGCTCTTCATGGTCTCCTGTGACTCTCGGGGTGGAAAAAGGGCGGTTTCTTGTGCTCACAGATGACGTAACATCCATAGTCCACAGCTGTGTGCATGCACACACATCGCAGACCAGAACGGACAGAACACAAGTCCACACGTTTGCCGACAAGAAGAGATGGACAGACATGCAACCTTGAGCAACGCAAACACACACTCCAAAGTCAGACATACACCGAACACACATAAAGACACCGAGACACAAGAGAAACCCAAAGGTGACTGAGCATGGTGGGGCATGCCTGTCAACCCAGCACTCTGGGAGGCCGAGGCAGGAGGATGGGAAATTTGAGCCCGGCTCAGACAACTTAGCAAGGCCCTGTCTTGAACTAAAAAATAAAGAGGCCTGAGGATATAACTCAGTGAGATGGGCCTGGGTTCAATCCCCCGTACCAAAAATAAATACCCTAGCACTTGGGAGGCTGAGGCAGGAGGATAATGAGTCCAAGGCCAGCCTGAACTGCACAGTGAGCCCTTGTCTAAAAAAAAGAAGCCGGGCATAGTGGCCCACACCTCTAATCCCAGCACTCAGGAGGCTGAGGCAGGAGGATCGTTCTGAGTTCAAGCCAGCCTGGGCTACAAAGTGAGCTCAAGGCCAGCCTGAACTGCATAGCGAGACCCCGTCTCAGAACAAACAAACAAACAAAGCAACAAAAAACCACAGTTGATTACAAACACGCAGAACACCAACACACAAACTCACCCTTACACGCAACATGAAGATCTGCTCAGTGGTGCGGCCCAACCCACAGCCACCTGGCCCTTGCAGACGCACCCCAGACACACCCACAGAAACCAGGCAGTTGTAATGCTGTCTCGGGGCCTGGGAGACAGTGGGGGGCGCCCGCAGCCCCTGCCCTCCCCCTCCCCAGCCCCCACACGCCGCCTGCCCATACCGTGCTGAAGTTGGGGAAGAGGCCGAGGGGGGCGGCACCGTGGAGTTGAAGGGCCAGCCAGTGCTTGGCGTCCAGCGTGGGCTGCGGAAGCCGGGCAGGCAGGGGCAGGGGGCCCAGCAGCGGGCTGGGGGCGCTGGAGGCCGGGCCTGCGGCAAGAGGGAGGAGGGCAAGGTTGAAGGGGGGTGTCGTGCCCTCGTCCCGCCCCTGACACTGAGGACCCACGACTGAGGGCTGCCGGGGTGGCCAGGACAGAGCCGGTCACCGTCTTCACAAGGCAGCAGGCTTTGAGGCTCCGTCCCTGAACGGCGTCCCTCCCGGTGGATGGAGGCAGCCTGACAGCAGGGAGCGGACAGGGGAGCGAGGCTGGCCCCCAACACACACCCCACCACGGAGACGGCAGGAGGCACCGTGTGTCCACTTTACTGCAAATTAATCCTAAACTCGTGGGGCCCAGGGGAAGCCACCCTCTCCAGCACTGATTATCCCATCCGTCCCTGCAGAACCCCAATTATTTGTAGGAAGGGCTGACAAGAGGGTCAGGCCAGTCTTGAATTCACTATGTAGCCAGTGCTGGCCTCGAGCTCACGGTGATCTTCCTGCCTCAGCCTCCTGAGTCCTGCTTTGGGTTACAGGTATGCATCTGGCTTAACACTATTTTTTTTTTTTTTTTTTTCTGTCTTTCTGAGACAGGGTCTCCCTATGCAGCTCAGGCTGGCCTTGAGTTCACTTTGTAGCCCAGGCTGGTCTTGAACTTGCAACAATCCTCCTGCCTCAGCCTCCCGAGTGCTGAAATTGTAGACGTGTACCACCATGCCTGGCAACACTGGGGTTTTGCAGTCTTTGGTCTCAAGGGTCAGAAGCAAGGACAAGGGAGGTCTAGGTACTTGAACGTCCAGACTTGGAGGAAGAAAAAAAAATCAGAAATCAATCCAGTCCGTTTGGGACTTTTTTTTGGACCCTGTTATTGCAAAACCAAAATCAAGCTGTTGGTCTATACCCTGCCTTGGGCAGCCTGCTGGTGGGGAAGTGATGCACCAGACCCTCCCTGGACCATGGTACCCTTGAACCTTCAGCTGGCTGGCGGAGACCAAAGGCAAGCAGCCCCCACTGTTCAGGCCAGGAAGCACAGAAGCGCTAAGAAAGTCGGGCATGGACTCTTTGCCCTCGCCCCCCTACCCCTCAAACCTGATCTTCCTCCAGCCACCACCTGAACCCCAGCTTTTCCAGCGCCAAACTATGGACAGGATCTGGGAGGAGAGAGTTGTGCCCTGTCACCATTCTGCGGAGCACAGGGGTCCTTGGTCACCTAGATTGGTGGCACATGCTGGCCCAGGCCCCTGCGCTGGTGCTCAAGCGGCTGAGGGCAGGAGTCCCTGGCCTTAGGTGTCCCAGGCTCCAGCCGGCCCTTGGCCCGCCCCTGCTCCAGGAGCTCCAGGGCCAGCGCAAAGTCGAAGCAGCGCAGCGGGGTCTGTGACTCTCAGGGCTGCTGGGTAGTTGGTGGCTGAGGCAGGGTCACCATGGGGACCTTCACTTCCGGGCCCAAGGGACAAGCGGCCATGCAGCTCCCAGCCCTGGCCCGCGAGAAGGAAGGCAGCAAGGCTAAGCCTCCGCGGCCACAGGCTGAGGAAGGGGGCTTGTCGTTCTGATGCCCTGCCTCTACACGCACACATGCACGCACGCTGGCAGCATGGCTCTGAAAGGCTGCCCAGCCCACCGGGTGCCAGGCCGAGAAGCCGAGGCTCCGTACGAGGGACGCGTCCAGTCCTCTCTGTCCAGCAAGGGCCACACCCGCCCGGCCCCAGCAGCCAGGGACCGCACACACGTGCATACGTGCGTATACAGGACCACAGCCTCAGGGGTGAGTGTCGCCAGGAGCTGCGGGACAGCCCTTGGGCACCTCTGGAGCCCGTCTGCTTGGCTTGGAAGAGGCTGTGCCCGGCACCCGCTGAGCTCCTACCTTTGTCCCTGCCTTGGTCCTCTTGGCCTGGCACTCCTGGTCCCTTGTTCCCTGCCCCTCCCCACTCATTTCTTTCTTTTTCTGGAACTGGGGATTGAACTCAGGACCTGAGCTACGTTCCCAGCCCATTTTCTTTTCTTTTTTTTTTTGTCTTTCTGAGACAGGGTCTCGATATGCGGTTCAGGCTGGCCTTGAGCTCACTTTGTAGCCCAGGCTGGTCTCGAACTCTCAATGATCCTCCTGCCTCAGCCTCCCGAGTGCTGGGATTACAGGCGTGCGCCGCCACACTCGGCTTGCCATTTTCTTTTTTAGAAACAGGTCTCTCAGAGCTAAGCTGCCCAGGCAGAGCTCAAACTCCTGATCTGCCTGTCTCAGCCTCCCAGAGGGTCGGGATCACAGCCACCAGGCCCAGCTTCCTTTCATTTCTCGGAGCAGTCAGGTGTCCTGAGACCCCAGCTGGGCGGGCATTTGCCCTCGGGGCTTGCGCAGCACAGGCGGTGCAGGGGTCCTCTCCGAGTCTCTCCCTTGCTTCTGGAAGGCCACGGGCACGCCGCTCCCGTCACAGCCCGGGTCCCCGTCCAGGCCGGGCACACAGAGCCCTCAGGGAAAGGGGGCTGTTCCAGAGAACGAAGGGCCTCATCCTGGCACATGGAAGTGCCCTTCCTGGGACTTTGATTCGATGACCCTGAGCGGAGACGGCATGGGTGACCGTCTTCCCCACACACTTCTTGGGGAGCAGCCGGCGGGGTCAGGCAGGGCGTCCGCGTGGCCAGGCGTCAGTCCTCTTCCCCAGGTTCCAAGGAGTCCCGTGTTCTCCTGGGGCATTTGACGCTGCACAGCCCTGCAGCCCCTGGATTTCCTGCTAACTAGAACTTGAGATCCTGCTGCCTCAGCCTCCCAAAGTGCAGGGATTATAGGCATGCGCCGCTGTACCCAGCGCATGTTACTCTTGATCAGTCCTCAGCAGTGGGGCCTCTCCTAGTCATCCTCTTCCGCTCCTCCTGCCCAGGTGTTCTGGCCAGAAATGCATCTCCCCTTCTGGACTCCCAGATCCTAGACCGGCCATCTCCTTTTGGGGCCCACCAGGGGCCCACCTTGCTGACCCCTGCTGTGGCCGCCGTGTCTCCCACCCCAGCCAGCAACACCGACCTCCTCTGGGTGCCGGGTCCCCTGCCCCAGGCCCTTTGACCACTACGCTTCTAAGGAGTTCCTACCGTCCTGCTTCGCTACCACCCGCCAGACCCATTCCCCATTCCCCCAACCCCCACCTCAGCGGGCCCCTCTTCAGAGGAGGAGGTTCCCCGCACCCTTTCCCGGGAAGTCCCCCGTTTTTCCACCCCTGTGCTTGCAGGTCACAAATCTCCCCTTGTTTCCTGGGAGGAGCAGCTCCCTCAGCTCCTGAGCCCCGGCAGCCGGGACAGTGCCCCCCCGAACCAGTGCCCGCCACCATCTGAGCGAGCAAGGGGGGGCCAGAGAGCCCCTGACCAGCAACTGCGGGCCCTGCCACTGCGTGACCTCAGCAAGGCCGCCAGGGACCTCCTGGGGGAGGGAGCCAGGCTGGGGGCGGGGCTTCCTCCTTGACGTCTGCGAGGCCCCGCCCACACGCCGGGGGTGGGGGGCTGGCGATGCCGCCCCACTGCGCACAGGGCTAGCGGGTCTGACCCCAGGAAAGAACCAGGGGACAAGTGAGTGGATCCTGGGGACGCGGGATTTCCGGAACGGCCCTGTCCAGCACACGCTCAGCTCGCAACTCCAGCCCACCCCAGCAGGTCCGAGCCCTGGGCAGCCACGGGCCGGCGGGGTACAGAGCGCCGCCACGTCCCGCGTGGTGCCGGAGAGCTGCTGGGAAGACCAGGTGACACCCGCCACTCAAGGGGGACCAGGAGACACCAGAGGGAGCCTGCTTGTAGCCCGGGGCTGGCACGCCCTCTCCCTGGGGTGCTGGCGGGAGCCCCACGTCGCGGTCTTCCCCTCCTCCTACCTACGCACCCCCTGTGGGAGCCCAAACGGTATCGCTGGGCCCCCACACCGGGTCCCCAGGCTCCTCTGGGCCCCGAACTTGGGACCCCAAGCAGAGCGTGCACGCAAAAGCTCAGGGGGGCCAAGGGGCGGGGTGCGGCCCTGCGCCCCTCAGCAGTCCTCCGAGGGGCCAGGGCTGCCCTGAACCCTCCAGGGCTCCCGAAGGCAAGGTCCCCGCTCTCCCCCCGCTGTTCTCCCGTCGCCTGCGCTCAGAGAAGCCCCGGGGACTACCACCTCGGGCTCCGCCGAGCAACCACAGCCCCCAGTGACCACCGAGGCGAAGCCCCCCTGGTGCGACGGGGGTCTTGGCTGGGGGTGCCGGGCTCATTAGGCGCCTGCCGAACCCGCCCCACCCCCGTTCCCCCCCCGCGCCATGCCCCCCTGCAGCGCAAGGGTCTCGAGCGTCGCGTCCTCCCTGCCGCCATTGGGGGAGCCCAGGCCCAGGTGGCAGCAGAGCACGTGAGAACCCAGCCTTCCCCAAGCTGGGGGCCTGGGGGCCGAGGGCTCGGGGTAAGGGGCGGGACTGGGTCTCGCGGCTGGAGTGAACTTCCAGGAGCTGCCAGCAGGATGCAGCCATTCCCTAGAGGTCGGAAAAGTCCAGCGCCCCTAGTACTCGGGGAGGCTGAGGCAGGAGGGTCTAAGTTCCAGCTCAGCCTGGGACCACATGCTGTGGGGAAAGGGGACCAATGCACTTGGTGACCCAGGCTCTTCTTCCAACCGCAGAACCCCCTGGAAATGCCTTTCTGCCCCCACCCCCAATTGGCCACCCTGCTGTGCGTCACAAGGCCTGGGGTGCAGCTGATCTGAGGCCTGGGCCCCTCCAGCACCCTGCACACCATCTGCCTTTGCACAGTCCCCGTCCCACAGGAGAGCTGTGGCACACAGACGCACACGTGTGCTCCTGGCTCCGCTTGGTGAAGGGACCTGGCCCAGCCGCCACGTCACCCCAAGGTGGCACCAGGGGGCTGCTGGGTGCTGACTGTGCACCCTGAAACGCCAGGTGGGTGGGGTCTCTGATAGCTGAGTGTCTAGGGCCGTCCCTCTCCACCCGGCCAGGTGTCTGCCTCAGGGTCCAGGTTTGGGGATCAGCTGCTGCCTCAGGAGGGCAGGTCTGCCATGGCCACACAGGACAAACCAGTGACAGCCAGGGAGGGGGCCCCGGCTGCCTCC